TGAAAAACTCCCTCTGGTGCTCAGCCAAGGGGCTTTCAGGAGGGTGGGGCAGAGGCTGGTTGTTAGTGAGCCTCAATTAGCACTTCAATGGCCCACAGGGTGGGGCTGGATCTCCAAGGGAGGGGCTGCTGCCTCTCCTCAGAGCCTTGGGAAGGAGCAATGTGGCCACCGTCCTGAGTGGCTGCACTCAGCCAAAGCTCTGAGCGCCGTCCAAACCCCGAGTGTCCCGTCACAGCTCCAGTCCAGTCTGCCCTCCCTCTGCTGGAGCCCAAGGTGAGTGGCTGTGGCTGTTTCAGCCTCTGTCCCGGCTGCGCTGTGGAGCCGCCTGGGAGTGTGACCCGAGGGCGCTGCTCCCAGCTGAGGCCGCTGCCGAGCTGCCGACCGTGGGCCCCCAGCCCCGTCTCGCGCCTTCGCAAGCCTACCGGGATGGAGTCAGTGTCCCTTGTTGTATGGTCCTCGCAAGCTGCTTTTCTGTTGGTTTTTCCCGTCGATTTGTCTGTGTTATAGTTGTAATTCCAGTTTGGTTCTGGGAGACGGTCTGTGTAGCTCCGTTCACTCCACCGCCTTTTTTCGGTCTCTAATTTGCCTTTTTTTTTTTTTTTTTTTTATCCTCACCCGAGGATATTTTTCCAGTTTTTGTACAGATAGAGTGGGAGGGAGAGAGAGGAAGGGAGAGAGAGTGAGAAACATCGACGTGAAGGGACACATCGAGTGGCTGCCACCCGCACGACCAACCAGGGCCGGGGACAAACTGCAACCCAAGTACGCGCCCTTAGCGGGAACCGAACCCGGGTCTCTCCAGACCGCAGGCCGATGCTCTAACCACTGAGCCAAACTGGGCAGGGCTCTAATTTGCTTTTTTAAAAAAAAGTCACTATACCTATAGCGACCTTTCCAAATGTGAATGAGTTCCATATCTAATCAACTACTAAATGTATCTTAATCCCTTTCCATCCTTTCTGATTCCACCCCTCTGATCCATCACTTCCTGTCTCTTGCATGGTCCAGTACTGTAGACTCTTTACTGATGTTACTGGTTTCACTCTTTTGAATCTATTTTCCACATTGCAGTGAGGGTGAACTTTCTCAGAAAAAGATCTGAAAGCACTTCTCTGCTTTAAATTATTTTAGGGTTTCCCACTGTCTGAAGACTAAACTTGAACAGAATATCCAAGGTCTTGTTTTTGCAGCCTTACTTCCTACTTGTCATGTATACATTGGCCACCCTCCAGCCACATGTGACTTCTTGCAAACCCAAATAATCTTAAGCTCACAAGTCTAATCATAGCAGGATAATGCCTTTTTAAAAAGTACAGACCAGAGTTATTTAATTTGCCTCCTTTTCACCTGTTGGTAGGGAGGGCTTCCCATCCTCAACTTATGGGGATGGCCAAACACTGAACAGATGAGCTCAACAGTTTATTAGTCATGTATATTCATAGCCCAGGGGAGGACACCACACACCAAGCAGGACCACCTGGGAGTTACACTTGGGAACAGAGTGAACAAGCAGTGGCTGTAAGGGGCAGACTTTGTAGTAACAAGAGAGTGGGTGAGCACTGGTTTCTGAAAGAGGATGTCATTGGCTTGTTTGAATAATTTCACAAGCTAATACGAAACTGGATCCTGATACTTGCAGATAAACTGCACCTGCTCCTTGTGATGAGGAGGGTTGTTTGGTTAGGGGACCTTATCTCTGAGAACAGAGGGGGAAGATAATTTACAGGTAGGCCATTTGAGGCCCTCTGATTTTACCAGATGTTAAGGCAACACTTAAAAATGAATCTTTTATTGATTAATTTTTAAAATTTTAATATGTTTTATTGATTTTCTTTGAGAGAGAGGAAGGGAGGGAGAGAGAGAGAGAGAGAGAGAGAGTGATCAGTTACCTCCTGCACACCCCCCTACTGGTGTTCAAGCCCTCAACTCAGGCATGTGCCCCAACAGGGAACTGAAATGGCCACCTCTTGGTGCATGAGACAATGTTCAACCAACTGAGCCACACCAGCCAGGCTATTAATATTACTTTTTTAATCCTCACCCGAGGACATGCTTAGAGAGAAGAACCGAGAGAAAGAGAGAGAGAGAGAGAGATGATAGAGAAACATTGATTAGTTGACTCTGCATGTGTACTCCAACCAGGTATTGAACCTGCAACCCAGATGTGTATCCTGACTGGGAATCAAACAGGCAACCTTTCTGTGTACAGGACAACACTCAACCAACAGAACCGCAGTGAGCCACTATGGGCTTAACGATGAATCTTTTTTTTTTTTAAAATATTTTTTCTTTATTGATTTTTTAGAGAGAGGAAGAGAGAGAAAGATTGAAACATTGATGAGAGAGAACATCGATTGGCCACCTCCTGCATGCCCCTCACTTGGGATTTGGCCCACAACTTGGGCGTGTGCCCTGATCAGGAATCACACCGGTGACCTCTTGGTGTGTGGGTCGATGATGCTCAACCACAGAGCCACACCAACCAGGCTTAAAGCGAATCTTAATTTCAGGCCTTATACCACAGTCACTCTTCGATGCCTTGACATCCATTTAAACCTTGGTGATGACTGAGACTTTTAGGAATTGGGAAAAGTGCTTCCCTAGGAAGTGAAGTTGGTACTAGACCAGGAGGTAGAGGTGATCACCAAAAACAAAACGCATACACTCTCATTGATGTTCACTCAGTTGATCCTAAGGTCACCCAGGAGCCTGAGACAGGTGTGACATCCTCCAATGTCAAGGCATCTGACTATGGAGTAGTAATAGTGGAAGCAGGTGGGATATGCCAGAGGGCCCAGGTTTGTAGCAAAGAGGCCTTGATAGCCACACCCGGCTTCTGGTGTACTGCATCCTTAACCCAAGGGATAATGGGCTCAGGGCCTGTGAGAGACTGTGTTTTCAAAAGAGCTCAGTGGGTGTCCGGTAATTGCTGCACTAATGGTAGATAAAATGCAGTGCCAAGGAAGGCAGTTTCATGCATCAGAAACCCAGGGACAACTTATGGACATCGTAGTCCAGAGACTACAGAAAGCATGAGAGGGAATTGCTGATGCCTCTTCACAGAAGGAGTCTCTGAGGGCACTAACCAGAGTGCCTACTGATACTATTTTTTTTTAAATGTGTTTTGTATTGGTTTTTTTAGAGAGAGAGGAAGGGGGAGAGAGATGGAAACATCGATGTGAGAAACATCGTTTGGCTGCCTCCTGCACAGCCCCTACTGGGGACTGAGCCAGCAACCTGGGCGTGTGCCCTGAACAAGAATCAAACTGGGACCTCTCAGTCCATGGGTCAGTGCTCAATCCACTGAGCTACCCCACCTGGGCAAGAGTGCCTACCGATTTTATTTTTTATTTTTTTTATCATCCTCACCCGAGGACATTTTTCCATTTTTTGTTCAGATAGAGTGGGAGGGAGAGAGAGGAACAGAGAGAGAGAGAGAGAGAGAGAGAGAAACATCGACGTGAAAGGGACACATCGAGTAGCTGCCACCCGCACAACCAACCAGGGCCGGGGACAAACTGCAACCGAGGCATGTGCCCTTAGCGGGAACTGAACCCAGGTCTCTCAGGACCGCAGGCCAACGCTCTAACCGCTGAGCCAAACCGGCCAGGGCAAGAGTGCCTACCGATTTTAATGTGGATAGACTATAGAGCCTTCTGTTAGAGAAAGCCCCACTCAAGGTGGACTAATTTATAAATTACAGCATAAATGGATTTCAGTAAAGTTTGTTGTTGAAATATGCCCTAAACAGAACATGTAAGTCAAATCTATCATAGCAAAATAGTTACCATATTTACACTGTTTTCTTTCTTGCTTTATTTTAGAGAAGAAGGGAGAGGGAGAAAGAGATAGAAATATCAATGAGAGAGAACATCGATTAGCTGCCTCCTGCATGGCCCCCACTGGGCATTTGGCCCACAACCTGGGCATGTGCCCCGACCAGGAACTGAACCAGCAACCTCCTGGTGCATGGGTTGACACTCAACCACTGAGCCACACTGTCCGGGTATTACCATATTTAAATTTCGTGAGCTTCCAGGTATTTTAAGGGTGCCTGAGATTTGTTTTAATGAGGTATGGTATGTAAGACACAAAGCCACAGACATAACTAACATGAAAAACATTTTTACAACCACAGGAGGCGCACCATGGGGGGGGCCCACATAGGGAGGCACCAGGGATAGTCAGGAGGCAGAGGGGGTGAGCGGGAAATGAGACTTTATTGTGGTTTCCATGATAAGGAACCAGTGAGGCAGGGTAAACATTGGGTTAGGATCGGCTACCATGAATTATTTCAGTGGGCTCTGGGGCACAGTGTCCCTAGTTGTCTGGTACCTGTCCTTGGGGAATAGTGGCCTAGAGTGTCAGAGCCAGGTAGAGGAGGTGGTTGGGGATATGGGCTCTGGACTGGTTAGCTTACACCTGAAAGATACACTCACAGATGAGCTGTTGACTACCTCTAGGAATTAAATGAGCTAACTCTGGCAGGGACAGTCCCTTCAAGGTATCAAGACCTCAGATATCAATGCATTAAATAGGAAAACATGGTTATTAACTAGATATAACCATAATGCGAGCTCTCACATTAAGTTTATGAAGGTTTGTCAACTGGTGCATTTTAGCAGATGTTAAAGTTCATTGAAAACCTATGTTGTAGAGGCACAAAAGCCAATCGGTGAATTTGGCCATATAAATTATTTGGACTTCCAATTGGGTCAAATTTTGAACCTTTACTTAATTAACTTTTTTGTGTCCTCCTTCTGTATCCAGTTTTTTGTTTTGTTTTGTTTTGTTTTTTTGATGTCTTTCTTTGGTTTATCACTGGATATACATGAGGGTGGGGGACTATCAGGTCAGTATCTTCAGCGTTAGGGCCTCCCTCATGGCAGTGGTTGGGTTTAAAGACAGGGCTTACATCGGGTTTGAATGAACACTGTCACTGTGCCACGGGGCTGTCGTGGTGTTTTTCCCATAATGCCAAAGATCAGGATTTCGTGCCCCAGAGAGGTGCAGTGGGAGAGCACAGGGCCCACTCCCCAGAAGCTGATGGATCAAACTGTCTTCTGCTGCAGCCCTCTGCTTTCCACGTGTGGACTGCTGCCCCTCTAGGTATGTCAAGTCACAGGTTTTTGTTTCTGTCTCCATCCAATCACATGTTGTGAGACCTTCCAGATGGTTATGGGGAAAGGGAGCAGGGTGGGCCCCACTGATGACTATCCTCTTCCTCCAGGAATGTCAGTATATCTCCCAGTGTTGGAGTCCACATCCAGCGAGACTATTTTGTCTATGCCTAGGTGCCTAGGGTGGGAACCTCTAGCCCCTTGATCACAAGATAAGTCCTTTGTCCTGCCGATAAGCAACAAGACTAAGCAAAAGCCCAAGCATGTTGGTCAGGGGTTTTGCATTGGGATAGACGTTAAATATCAAAGGTCCCTCCCCTACTTTTATTATTCTTTTTCATCAGAGCTCGGGCCATGGACTGCCAGGGATGTGCACCCAGAAACCCTGAGGGATCAAGGGAGCATGTGAGAACAGCAAGGGAAGCAGCAGCACAGGAGACAGGCAAGGTCATTCACTACCTTTGCCTGAAAGAAAATAATTCAGGAAGCAACCACGGAGCCATTCTTAAATCTTCCTGGGATGATGGCCTTCATTCTTTCCACAAACAACACAAGGGGTCATCCCCAGGACTGTACTAGAAGTGCACCCCAACCAGTGTCTGTATGGGTGCCCAAACAGCCCATGATGGTCACTAGGCTAGACACAGTGACCCAAGTGCCCAACACCCACTAAGTGGAACTCAAACACCCACAAATTAAGATGTTGCATTGTCACTGCCCTCAGATGGGAGCCTGGGAGACCACCTGTCAGACATAGGTCAACCTGGTGGCACCTTTGTATGGTAAATGGGAACATGGGCCCCTTCCCATACTCCAACTCCCCCTGCCCCACCCCATCCTGGGGGAAGACGATGAAGGCTATCAGTAAGCAGACTGTGAGACCTTGGGAGCCTGGCCAGCTCCTCAGCCAAGAAAACAGCTAACAGTTTAATCTCACACAGCTGGTGTGAAAACACCTACCCTCCCCGCTGCAAGCCCTGTTTTTCTCTGTTTTCTGCACTCTCTAGAACCTTGTGCTTGGAAAGTCTGGGGGACAGCAAAACAATAGCACCAGCTGGCTGCCCCTGATGCGGCTGGTCTGCAGGCCAGATGGGACTTTGCAGTTCAACCTCACCAGTGGCAGCCAGTGCAATGGCCAACTTTACTTGTCAGCCACCACCTGTGTGCACTAATGCCTAATAAACCCATGTCTTTCACAACCAACCCCCTGGGTTATTTTGTTGGGAATCCAATATGCTCAGGTTTTCTGGCCCTCAGCACTTTTTATTTATTTTTTATTATTATTTCTTTATTATTATTTTTTATTTATGAATTTTTATTTATTTTTTTGTTACAGATATTTTACCTTTTTACCCCATTGGCACCCCCCACCCCACCCCCCCTCCACCCTGTCCCCGGCTTAGTTGTCCATGTCCATTGGATATGCATACATGCATATAAATTCTGTGGTTTATCTCTTCCCACCCCCCCACCCCCCATCCCCTCTTCTGAGGGATGTCAGTCTGTGCCCTACTTCCATGTGTCTGGGTCTACTGTATTCCTCAGACTGTTATGTTCATTATATTCCGTATATAAGTGAGATCATGTGGTATTTGTCTTTTTCTGCTTGGCTTCTTTCACTTAGGATAATACTTTCCAGGTCCCTCCATGTCGTCTCAAAGGATAAGAGATCTTTCTTTCTTACCGCTGCATAGTACTCCATTGTGTATATGTACCACGGCTTTTTTATCCATTCGTCTACTGGTGGACACTTGGGCTGTTTCCAGATCTTAGCTATTGTAAATAGTGCTGCTATGAACATGGGGGTACATATATTCTTCCTGTTTGGTGTTTCAGGCTTCTTAGGGTATATTCCCAGCAGTGGGATCACTGGGTCAAATGGAAGTTCAATTTTTAATTTTTTGAGGTAGCACCATATTGTTTTCCATAGCGGCTGCACCAGTCTGCATTCCCACCAGCAGTGTATTAGAGTCCCCTTTTCTCCACACCCTCGCCAACACTTGTTGTTTGATGATTTGTTGATGGCGGCCATTCTGACAGGTGTGAGGTGATACCTCATTGTTGTTTTAATTTGCATCTCTCTGATGATTAGTGATGTTGAGCATTTCTTCATATGTCTCTTGGCCATTTGTATGTCCTGTTTGGAGAGGTGTCTATTCAGCTCCTCTGCCCATTTTTTAATTGGGTTCTTTGTCTTCCTTTTGTGGAGTTGTATGAGCACTCTCTATATATTGGAAATTAACCCCTTATCTGATACATCATTGGCAATGATGTTCTCCCATACAGTGGGTTGCCTTTCCATTTTGATGATTGTTTCTTTTGCTGTGCAGAAGCTTTTAGTTTGATGTAGTCCCATGTGTTCATTTTCTCCTTTGTTTCTGTTGCCTTCGGTGATGTATCAGTGAAAATTCTGCTCCGTATGATGTCCGAAATTTTGTTGCCTACATTTTCTTCTAGAATTTTTATGGATTCACGGGTCACATTTAAGTCTTTTATCCATTTTGAGTTTATTTTTGTGTATGGTGTAAGTTGATGGTCTAGTTTCATTTTTTTGCATGTAGCTGTCCAATTTTCCCAACACCATTTATTAAAGAGGCTGTCTTTACTCCACTGTATGCTCTTGCCACCTTTGTCAAATATTAATTGAGCGTATTGCCTTGGGTCCATTTCTGGGTTTTCATCAGCACTTTTTATAATAACCTCACTCTGGGATAAACTATAAATTAATGACAGTTCTTATCTTGTTGGTAAGAATAAGAAATTGGGGTGGTAATTGGTGGTAACATCCAGTCTAGATAACAGAACATGAGCTAAAGCTCAAGCTGACCAGCAATGGGCAGTTATATCCCAGAGAGTAACTGCCACTTTATGAAACTAGTTAATTAGCAAAGGAGCAGTTAGTTAAAGCTGACCAAGTGTCCACAGTTGAGGTTAAGGTATTCTGTTTGTAATGCTAACTCCTCTTCTCTCCATAGGTGAAAGAGATTCTTGCCCTAGACTTATGGGAATGGCTGAACATGAGACACTGGACAGAGGATATCAACCGCAATTTATTAGTCATGTATACTCACAGCCCAGGGGAGGACACCGCACACCAAGCAGGGTCACTTGGGGTTGCACTTGGGAAAAGAATGAACAAGCAGGGGCTGTAGGGGCAAACTTTGTAGTAAGAAGACCACGGAGTGAGACCTGGTTCCTGCAGGAGAGTGTGATGGGCTTGTCTGAATGATTCTGTGGGTTGATAGGGAACTGAAGCCTGCTGAACTCTGTGTCTGGTCCCTGTGATAAGAAGAGTTGTTTGGTTAGGAGGCCTTAGCTCTGAAATAAGAGGGAGTGGGGAACTTGCTGTTAGGCCATTTGAGGCTCCCTGATTTTGCCAGCTGTCATGACAGCTCTTAATAGTGAATCTTAATTTCCAACTTTATATCATAGGAAATTATTAAAAAGCATTTTTTTCTAGAACTAATAATTGAATCAAACAATGACACAGGCTCTAAAATAAACAAAAGTCAGCTGTATTTCTATACTGGTAGTGAACATGTGGATACCAAAATTATATTTACAATCACTAATAAAAATAAAATCTTAATGTCAATCTAACAAAACATGCCCAGGACTTGTATGCTGAAAACTACACAACACTGATAAGAGAAATAAATATAAATGAATGGAGAGATACACTATGTTCATGGATTGGAAGACTCGACATAATAAAGATGTCAATTATTCCTGAATTGATACAGGGATTTAATGCAATTCTTATTAAAATCCAGTAAGATAATCTTGTAGATACATACAAGACTTAAAATTTATATGGAAAGACAAAGGAATTTCAACAGCTAAAAAATCTTTGAAAAAAGAATAATAAAGTGGCAGCGCTCAGTCTACCCAGTTTTAAAACTTAATAGAGCAACAGAAACCGAAACTGTAATATTTTCAGAGGGACAGACACATAGATCAATGGAACAGAACAAAGAACCCAGAAATAGTCTTAACAAATATGCACGCCTGAGTTTTGACAAAGGCGCAAAAAGCAATTTAAAAAGCAATTCAAGTCCGGCCGGTGTGGCTCAGTGGTTGAACGTAGACCCATGCACCACGAAGTCACCAGTTTGATTCCTGGTCAGGACACATGCCCAGGTTGTGGGCCCAATCCCCAGTGGGAGGGCACGCAGCAGGCGGCCAATCGATGTTCTCTCTCATCGACGTTTCTATCTCTCTCTCCCTCTCACTTTCTGTCTCTCTCAAATCAATAAAAAGGAAAAAAAAATTGTTAAAAAGCAATTCAATGGAGGAAAGATAGCCTTTCCAACAGGCTACAACTACTTAAAACTTATGAGGAAGTCACAGCTGAAAACTTGGAAAAAGGGACCAGCAAAGAAGGAAGATAATGATTTGACTGAGACACTGCTAGATGAGGATGGGAGGTAGGGTTAGGTTGAACTCATCTCAGGATGAAAGCTGTAAGCTCCAGATGACAGTTTCTTCCCTCTTTCTGAATTCAGCTCCACAAGCTCTGGTGATTTTCCCATCAGTTTCCACATTTCAAATTCAGGTCACCCCTAAGTGAATGCACAGTGCTCCAGAGGATGCAGATTACTAACCTTTCTCTGGTGGGACATTGTTCACAACTACTCATTAGTCTCATATTTGGAGGCATCACACAGCTTGAGATCGCTAAGCTTGCTATTTCCAGACTCTACAACTGTGTCATAAAATTCTAATCCCTTGAGCATGAGCTTAAATGGAATGAGCGGGCCCTGCCTTTGGGAAGACTTTGGCAGTGGCCCTCAGTAAAACACTGACCAAAGTTCTCTGAATCACCATCCCTCCCCCAAAACTGAAGGCTCAGCAAAGAAAAGAAGTGTTCTTTGCTCACCAAACACCACAAGTATATCAGAGTATCTGCCACCTTCTTCTAATCACCCTCATCCTCACTATGCACACCTATGGTATCCACACGTTATTCTACTTGCTGTTGACATTTATACATCCATGGAATGTGTACACTGCCAACCTAGAAGACCATGTTTGTTGAGTGGTTTGCATTACCCTCTTCGCAGAGGACCATTCAAAGAAAATGGTGTATGTCATCTCATCACACAGCCTCCCCTATTGTTGTTTTTACTGTGGGTATTAACAAGCTCTTGTTTGTCCATTGAATACTAAGCAAGCACTTGATATCTGGTCTTTCCCCAGACATGTGTACTGGGTATTGTTATTGTTTATTTTGCGTGTGTGTGTGTGTGTGTGTGTGTGTGATCCAAGGTTCTTAAAGTTTGAGTATATCTATCCCCTGCCCCTGGCAGATAATGAAATGGAATATGCAAACACACTTTATCTAGAAAATGCTTTATAATAAATCCAGTACAAAGTATATGTAATGAACACAATTAATATGCATAATAGTGAAACAAACACTTGTGAACCCACTCCAACTTGAGAAATTATTGAGGTGTATATGTACTTCTTCCCCATTCCCCCCCCTTTTAAATTTTTTAGAGAGAGAGGAAGGGAGAGAGAGAGAGAGATAGAAACATCCATGAGAGAGAACTTCGACTGGCCGCCTCCTGCATGCCCCCAAGTGGGGACCTGGCCCACAACCTGGGCATGTGCCCTGACCAGGAATTGAACCTGCGACCTCTAGGTGCCTGGGTCAACGCTCAACCACTGAGCCACACTGGCCGGGCCCATTCCCTTTCTTTGTTCTCCAGTGTTCTACTCTGCCCACTTGCATATGGTCACAAATACCTCAAATCCTGCCTCTCCATTTCTTTACCTTCCTATATAGTATATATATATATATATATATATATATATATATATATATGTGTATATATATTTATATTTATATTTACTGGATAGGCATGCTTCTCTAAACAACTTTAATTTTGCTCGCTTTGAACTTTACAAAAATGTTGTATTTCCTTCTTTCAGTTACTATATGTTTCTGAAATTCAGCCATTGATGCTTGCAAGTGGCAGCTCTAGTTAACTCATTTTTATTGCTATATAGTTTTCCACACATTCCTTCCTTCATGACATCTCAAAGGCCATCATGTGTGCAGAGCTAGCTCCTGGCACAGAGGGAGCTCAATAAATATTTGTTCAATTGTTGAATGAGACTGAGCCCCGACTGACTGTCACAACGACACTTGTTTCCTCTGGCTGGATTCTCTGCCCTTTACCCCAGTGCTAGGATCCTGCCCTGGGTCAATTACAGTTATAAATTTCCTGACCAGCAGTAAGAAATACAGTGGCCTCCCAAAGCACCAAAGACTACAATTCCCAGTAAGCATTGCGGTGCCATAGTATGTTAAGTTCAGTTTACTTCCCCCTCCCAGGCAAATTTCCGGGTTGTGTGGTCGGGACCAAAGGAGTTGTCCAATGAGCACCTCCGCAGGCTGAGAGATGAAGAAATTACCCAATGAGCATCCCCTTAGAGGCTCCAATAAGCGCGAAGGTTGCTGGGACAGCGGTCGTGGGCGGTCTCACTGAGCCGCTCCAGCTGAGCCGGGCGGAGCCAGCCCCTCTCTCCTGCCTTCCTGGAGGCTAGCTAATTTCCCTGGCGGCTGTCGACCCCGCTTCCATGTCCCGGGTGGGCACAGTACCCCGGAACCTCCACGCCCATGGCCGGTAGTCTGAGGAAGCCCACTTTGGACTCCTGTCCTTACTCCTCGAGCGACACTGACGACGAAGGCGTGCGCGGCACCTGCGAAGATGCGTCTATTTGCAAGAGGTGCCTGCGGGGCGCGGGTTAGGGGCTGGCATCCCCGGGGTGCTGGGGCCCAGGTGGGAGGCGGGCCTGTATCTACGGAACGCGCATGTACGCCACCAGGTGCCCGTCAGCTCCTGCGACCCTCGCCTCCCACCTGTGACTTTCACAGAACGGGGGTTCATTTATGTAAGTCATAATGATCTGACCTATGCTGTGTGCCAGGCGTGGTGCAAGTCCGGGGTACCGTGCCTGGAGTACAGCGCTGCACGAGGCACACGTGGTCTTGGCCTACCCGGAGCTAGTCTTGCTAGAAAGACAAACGTCAAGCACTATCCACAATCTTGATAGGTTAGGAGAAGTGCAGGTTTCTCCCTTTTTGATAGTTTACATTCCGTTGGGGTTGTCGAGATCCCCTCTGTGCACCTGACTCTCAAGCCAATCAAGGGGGGAAATGAGGCATCCAGGACCACCTCATATTGGTGTGCAGAGCCAGTTCTTTCCAGAGTTCTTGCCTGTATCCTACAGGAGTCTACACGATTAGAGGTGTAGCGGGGTATATGTCACACACCTGCAAGCATGAGAAAGAAAGCATGGGACTTGAGTGAACTCCATTCATTCGTTAAACCAAAACTATTGAGAGCTTATTTTGTGCCAGGCCCTTCATTTGTGCAGGGTGGTGGAGATTCAGTGATTGGGACCACATAATGAACCAGACTGACATGTTGCCTGACATCCTCATAGCCGAGTTGGAAAAGAGACAGAAGAAGAATGATCACCCATGAAATATAATTACAGTGTTGTGTTGAGTGCTGATTTTGTAATTTAGGCAGTGATGTTTAAACTGAAAACAAAAGGCTGGAAAAAAATGATGTAGGAATGCCTGGCTGACCGGTGTGGCTCAGTGGTTGAGCATTGACCCATGCACCAAGAGGTTGCCGGTTCGATTCCTGGTCAGGGCACATGCCCAGGTTGTGAGCCAAATCCCCAGTGTGGGGGCATGCAGGAGGTGGCCAATTGATCGATGTTCTCTCTCATCGATCTTTCTGGCTCTCTCTCCCTTCCTCTCTCTCTAATATCAATAAAGGAAAAAATAAATGATGTGGGAGGGTGTTCTGAAAATCAATGGAAAAATATCCTCAGGTGAGGATTAAAAAAAAAGAATTGTTCTCATGTTGACTGCTGTTTGCTAAGACAATCTGCAGTGCCATCTAAATTATGAGAGGGAAATAAAATACTTTTCTGTAGCACATTAGGGTTCGGTTTACTTACTATTTACTGATAATATTGGTTTACTTAATACTTATTGGAAATGTATTTTGCATACTTGTTTACTTAAAAAAGTAAATTAGCACCCGGCTTGTCTGGCTCAGTGGCTTGAGCGTTGTCCCATTGTCTGAGAGGTCCTGGTTTGATTCCCAGTCAGGGCACATGCCTGGGTTTCAGGCTCAGTCCCCAGTGGGGGGTGTGCAGGAGGCAGCCAATTGATAATTTGTCTTTCACATTGATGTTTCTATCTCTCCCTCCCTTCCTCTCTCTAAATAATCAATACAACATTAAAAAAAATAAATTAGCTATAAAATAGTTCAGACACAAGGAAAAGCACAGAGAAATAGTAGGGCTAGAGCATGACTTTTCTTGACTCCCACTTGGATAGTTTTGATAATTTCAGTTCTTCTCTGCCTGTTTCTGGTGGCCCTGGTGTCTGCAGACACCTAACCATTGTAGGAGAAGTTCGGGCTTGGAACTGCAGAGAATTGAAGGCAGTAGTTTTCAACCCGACCTGCACTGCAGCATTGCCTGGGGCTTTTTGAAACAGATGCTCGGGACCTGCTCATGCCCCACTGAACCAGAAGCTTCGGGCCTCGGTCCCAAGCTATGAGACCAGACACATTAGCCACGTTGGATGCGTTTCCTCAAGGCTTTTTTTTTTTTTTTAATCCTAACCCGAGGACATTTTTCCATTTTTTGTTCAGATAGAGTGGGAGGGAGGAAGAGGAAGAGAGAGAAAGAGAGAGAAACATCGACGAGTGGCTGCCACCTGCACGACCCAACCAGGGCCGGGGACAAACTGCAACTGAGGTACGTGCCCTTAGTGGGAACCGAACCCGGGTCTCCCTGGACCACAGGTTGATGCTCTAACTGCTGAGCCAAACTGGCCAGGGCTCCGCAAGGCTTTTTTGCACTCTTCTTTTCAGCTCACTCGATCAGTTAGTTCTGTCACACCCTCAGCCGATTTCTCCTCAGGACCTCCACGGTTTTCTCTACCCTTTGGACACTTCCTCTAGGCTCTTACCTCTCAGTTGAGCTTAGAGTTCATAGTCAGTCATTCAGATGTTCCCTTGGCAGAGACTTGCTCTTCCTTGCCCTCCAGTCCTAGTAAACCTCAAACCCTGGTTGAACCAAACTCTCCTTCTTGACCTTGAATACTGGTGGTAGAAATCACACAGCCCAGAGGCCTGGAGCTACTGTGAGTTCATGTCAACCAACCTCACCTGTGCCCTTAACAGCATGACTATTCTAGTATGATTCTCTGGCCAACTCGCCTTCTGACTCTCCAGAACACTTAATTCAGACATTTTCCACTTTCCTCAAACTTCATTTTTTTAAATCCTTACCTGAGGACATTTTTCGATATTTTGTTCAGATAGAGTGGGAGGGAGAGAGAGAGAGAAACATCGACGTGAAAGGGACACATCGAGTGGCTGCCACCCACACGACCCAACCAGGGCCGGGGACAAACTGCAACCAAGGTACATACCCTTAGTGGGAACCGAACCCGGATCTCTCTGGACCGCAGGCTGACGCTCTAACCGCTGAGCCAAATCGGCCAGGGCTCCTTAAACCTTTTTACCCCACCCTCCCCTCATTCTCAAGGTAACATGGGTAAAGTTGTGGGTTTTGTTGAACAATGAAAATGGAAGCCATCAGGTTGGAATTCACTAACTTCCCACTAACTTAATCATCCTTTCTTGTTACAGTTGTGCATGTCCTCCAGCAGAGAGCACTAGAAACACACGTGTAGTTAGACAAGTTGGGTTTAATTCCCCGTCGTGCAGCATTCACACCATAGGGAACTCTTGGGGCCTCTCCGTGAGAGGGTGCTAGAAAGAACTCACAGGAGTTGGGCTTTGGGTGGATACTTTTGGGGAAAGTCCAAGGAAGCGGCGATTTGCTGTGGGTTGGGTGCTGACGGGAGGCGGGGCAGTCCTGTCGTCTGGGTACTCTGATCAGTCTTTCCTGGAAGGAGGTGTGACTGAGGGAGACAGTGACTGTAATTCACAAAGGAGCCAGTCACTCATGCCAGCTGGGAGAGAGGGGGGTCTGGTGTTTTGTGGATGGCCCAGTGACCTTGTTTTTGTCTGTTGAGACTAAATTCTGAAGTGGTCCTGTTTTGTCTCACTTCATCACTGTGGCAGTGTGACCTTGTGTTGATATTCTGCAAGATTATGTCCAACAGAGCAGCCTGGCTCTCTGTGAGGGCCGGGCCAGCGCTGGAGGTCAGCCCTACTTTTCATCTTGCACAGGGGCGCAGGTGAGGCTTAAAAAGACAAGCAGGTGTTTGCCAGGCAGAAGGAAATAGCATGAGCTGAACAGCATAGCCATTGAAGTGTGTCAGGGGACCTTGGGTGGGGATGGGGGTGGCAAGAGAGAACTGTGGACAGGTTGTGAGAGAATAAAATGTGGAAAGTCCTGAGCAATTTTAAGTGGGGAGCTGACATGATCCGGTTTTGTATTTTAGAAAAATTCCCAGCAGCTGTGTGAGGTCTGTTCCCATTTCCTGCCCCGCTGCTGCAGTCCGTGCTCAGGGCTCCTGGCCCCCCGGTACAGTGTGTCCTTGTTGGCCCCTCTGCTTCTAGACTAGCCCCTGCCCCATCTAGGAGTTTACACTGTGGCCAGATTTTTCAGAACCACACATCTTATCCTGTCCCTTGTTACTTAAAGCCTTTTGATTAGCTGTCAGATACCAGGTAAAAATCTACACAACATTGCTTAACACACCACACCTTTTGTGATCTGATCATGCTATCCTGGAGATTTCACAGCCCACTGCAAACCTCCATTAGGATGTCTCATGATGATCTCAAATTCATTATTTCCAAAACTGTGCTCAAGAGCACCTTCCCATGTTCTCCGTGCCCCCCCCCCCCCCCAGCTCAGTGGACGGTGCTGTTGTTCAGTTAGCGCGCAGGTAAAAAGGGTAGGGTGATCTTGAAGCTGCTCTTTCACTTACCCCTGTGCGGTCTGTCACCCAGACCTTAGATTCTTATCTGTTAAACATGCCTGGAATCTGCTTCCTTTTCTGCCCTCTGCTTCTGCCATCTCTGGCCAAGCTAAGGTCACCTGTGGTCTGAGTTATGGCACTGGTCCACTAACTGAGCTCCCCCACGTACCTCCCCCAAATCTAGAGCATTGACGTGAGCGATTTGTAAAAGCTACACTTGATCACGTCACTTCCTAGGACCTGCTTCTGCCTCAGTTGACCCACCCCTCCCTGCCACCCTCGCGGTCTTCCTCGGGCCTCCCAGTGTGCCGCCCCGCCCTCCCTTGCCTGCTCAGGTCCACCTTGTCTCAGGGGAATGCCCTCCTTCGGCATTCCTTACTGAGCGCCTGCTCGCTTTAGGGAGACACTGTTCTAGTGTGGAGCAGAAGTGAATGAGGCAAACAGAAGCAGAGCTCTTACGGGGCGTTCATTCCAGTGGGGGAAACAGCTGGGAAACAACAGGCAAGACATCTGGTGTGCCAGGTGGTGGCCAGCGCTGTAGGACTGTTGGAAGGAGGCATACTCGGGTGGGACGGCCAGGGAGGACTCCACCGAGAAGGTCAGTGCTGGAGAGACTCGCAGGGTGTGAGAGCGTGAGCCTGCGGACCCCTGGGGGAACAGTGCCCCAGGTGGGAAGGGCAGAGGCAGGAGCTGGCCTGGCCTGCCGCCTGGGGCCTGTGGGGACAGAGGTTGCAGGCTCTTGTAAGGACCTAACTCACTCTGAAATGGGAGCCATTGGAGGATTTTGAACTGAAGAATG